ATATTTTTGAATTAGTTCGAATAAGCTTCTTATTTATTGAAATCTAAGTTATGGGTTTATTCCTATCATCATAAAATTTAGAAAATAAGTTTATTTGAAATAAATACTATAACGTTTAATTATAGAGGCTCAAATCAAATAGTTAAAATTGTCAATAGTCAACAGTGTAGCGTGGTTCTTTAAAGAATAACATTAAAATGTATATATAAATCTTCATTTGGAGTAATTTACATTTAGACCTTGAATACAAGGGTTTATGTATAGGCAGGTATACCAGGAGTAGAAACTATACTATATATATAATCCAGTTCAGCTATTCTATGGATTTAAGCACTCAAGGAGTATAAACCCCGGCTTAACGTCTCAAATTCAACAAATATATATTGGATAATTAGATAACTCTGCTAATACAGAAAAGAACTTATTTTTACGCGCCCCAAACTTTTATTTTCAAAACCTTTCTTTGCAATCTAAATATGTTTATATATATTTCAAATTTTGCCTATACTAATCTACCAGAGATGGAATTTAAAGAATTTGAGCCGCGGTTTAAATCTGCCAAAACCCGGTTTAAATTTAGCGCCGGCTTAAATCTTGAAACATTTGATACAATTTTAAGTGGAACCAACCATATTTAAACCGCGGCTTAAATCTAAACCTCCGCTTAAATTCTTTAAATTCGGCCACAGAATTCCTAATTTGAAATATCAGAAACAAACAACATCAGATTGGACGGATATAAATTTAAAAATTTGATTTCGAGGCAAATTATCAGTCCTTTAGCAACCCCTCCACCCCCTTTCCCTCCTTTCTTTTAATCTCTGGAAATGTTGATGAAATTAAAGAAACTAAATCTGCAAAATATTTAAACAAAGAGTAATCAATATTTATCTTGAGAATTATGAGAGGCTTAAATGCAAAAAAAAACCTAGCTGTATATCGTGTGAATAAATTTTATATAAAAAAACTAAAATAGCTGAAACTTTATTAGCTTATTTCTGTTTCTGTAACTACCATCCTCTACACCCTGTATTTTAATTTATCTCTACATTAAAATCCCTCTGATATCACCCTGCCACAGATCACCTGACAATCTCCTTCCTTCCAATCAACTCCTTACCTATTGTTTAGAAATCTTGAATTACACAATTACTCTACACCTGTCATGTTTGCTCCTGGTTGAAGGTATATAAACCTGTCTCAATGCTCCAGGATAATCTAATATTTATCTTAAATCATTCAAAAAAAACATCTTTGAATAACACGACCCACATGGTAGTTTATGTTTTAAGGTTATTTCAATATGTACTTTTCGACCTCTCAGATTATCCTTAACATTTTTAAATAGAAAAGAGATACAATTGGAGCCGAAATTCTCAGGGTTTTTTTTCAAAGGATCTTCAAAAAAAATTCTTAGTTCTCAACCGATGGTCAAATTAAGTCTTAGGCATTCAAAATATTTTTCTTATTTTATGTAAAATTAAAAGTATATTAAATATTACTATTTGCGCGCAGCAACTGGTTAATTTAAGAAATAAGAACAAAATCTGGTCACACACTGATACAGTTGTGTGTGATGTATATTTTTAAATGTATCTCTAGTTATAAAGTAGTAATCCCTGTTTGTTTGTTTGTATGTCCGATCATAACTCAGGAACCCCTCAATCGATTTCCCTTTAATTGGGGAACTCTGTAGAACCAAGAGAATGTTCTTAACTAGGTTTAAAAGTTCTTAGCTGAAAGTGTTGACTTTTATAAAGAAAACTTTGTTTCAAGGCAAAGCTGGGTTCCCAAGCTAGTCTATAATAAAAATATTCTTTAAATGAACACAACTATGAAAAATTGAAGTTTTTTTCATACATTTATATTGCTAGAAAGTGATCAACAAATTACATATGCACATTGTACACTGTACACTTTACACTGTACACTGTACATAATTACATACTAACTATAAACTTGTAGAATAACTAAGAGCACTGAGTATCAGAGATGATTGTTCACCCCCTGGTATTGAACAACTAAGCTCCGACGGATTCTAAGTTTCAATGTCAACTGGTTGAACGAACCACGCCGTGTTCTGTGTGTGTGTGTGTGTAAACGCATTGAGTTGATCCAAATTTTACAATTTACAGGTCAGTAGTGTGCCTGGAGACTATGTTTGGTCGGATCTAGACTCTTGATGTACTTACTTCATACCGATATCTCATACCTTCTCTCTTTGCTTACATCTTCTCTTTTGAAGCTTTTATCTTCTTTTCATGCAGTTTTTCTCTCTCTCCAGTTATTCTCTCTCCAGTTCTTCTCTCTCCAGCTCTTCTCTCTCCAGTTTATCCAATCCTCTCCTTTTCCTTTCTATTAATCTATAGTTTATCCAATCTCCTCTCTACAGTTTATCCAACCCTCTCCTCTCCTCTCAATAGTTTATCCAATCTTCTCTCTACAGTTTATCCAACCCTCTCCTCTCAATAGCTTATCCAACCCTCTCTTCTCTCTAGTTTATCCAACCCTCTCCTCTCCTTTCAACAGTTTATCCAATCCTCTCCTCTCTCTAGTTTATCCAACCCCTTCCTATCTCTAGCTTATCCAACCCTTTCCTCTCCTCTATACAGTTTATCCTCTCCTTTTCTCTCCTCTCCTCTAGCTTATCCAACCCTCTCTTTTCCTCTATACAGTTTATCGAACCCTCTCCTCTCCTCTATACAGTTTATCCGACCCTCTCCTCTCTCTAGCTTATTTAAACCAATTTGTGATTTAAACATATTCAGAAAATTGTTGGTTCTTGATTACAGCAAAAAGTAAGAATTGCAACTGTTCGCTGAAAGCTTGTTTACATTTCACAAAATTTTAATATTTGACAAACAATTTTATTTGCTTACTTTTTTATAGTCATTGCGGAAGAAGTTGAGGAGACATCTTTAGGTTAATCGTTTTAATATCAATTTTTTTTGACAATCAACACGAAAAATCCTTGAGTTTAACTAAACTTACAGTTGAAATCAAAAGGTTAAAATCAGTCTTATTCTGTTTTCTGAAAATCTTGAAAATGATTGATAGCTCCTTGACAATGCACCTTGTGGCAATCCTTTACTTCTAAATCCTCTGCATACGGAGTTTACCCACTCCTATGTATGTGTGCAACTTCACAAAATTTCACCATTCTTCCTAATCGAACTAAATCCATTTATCTCCTGAGATTAAAATCTTCTTGTTCAATAACCGCCCCATTTCTACAACTTTATAAGGTCTTCACTTCTCCCCCTGACCCTTCTTCGCATTCCCCCTTCCCCTCCACTCTTTTCCTTGCACCCTCCTGGGCCCTACCCCCTCGCCATTCATCCTTTTCCTTGCATCCCTCTTTCCCTTAATCCTTTTCCTTGCATCACCTTTAATCCTGATATTCAAGTGAAGAAACTATTTCAAGAATAGAATTTACTTGAACTCAAGTCGAGTATAGTATAGTATACAGATGAAGGAAGGAATTCCATTGTTAGGTTACAACTTTCGGGAGTAGGTTATAGTTAACCAAAGTTACATAGTTAAATAGGTATCTAGACAGTTACGAAAAAGCAACGATCGTAGAACTGCGACAAGCATTAAAGATAATTGTTTGAAAGATTAGCGCAAAGCACTCTGTCAGCAAAAGTAAGTTATACATAGTTCTGTAAATAGTTCAACAGTTGATAGTTGGATAGTTATTTTGAAATCAGTACAAATATAAAATAGTTAAATATAAAGATATTTTGATAATAGTAAATTTAATTAATTCAAACCAAATTCAAAGAATTCTTTATTAATGCATGCCTATTTTAGCATAAACTATTGCATTTTAACAAACCCCCTTCCCGATGCATTAGAGTTATATACAATATAAGTTTATATTAAAACACACTGCAAATCTGATCTATTACATAAATAGTTAAATCCAATTTCAAATGAGTAGATACCCTATAATACCTTGCATAAAACACTTCAAAATTAACAAAATTGTAATTTTTAGAGCACACATTCTTCCTTTTGTAACTGTATTTGATGATTTCCCATATCTCCTTAATATTGCACCTTGTCAATTTAATTCATAGCTTTGCTCGTTCTTATTCCTTTCATGCCCCTCCCCTCAGCCCTCCTTTCAGTGTTCAGTTTTCAGTGTTCAGTGTTCAGTGTTCAGTGTTCAATGTCCAGTGTTCAGTGTTCAGTGTTCAGTATTCAGTGTTCAGTTTTCAGTGTCCAAGGCCAACAACTCAAAAGGTTCATAAAAAATAAGATGAAGAGAAAAAACAGCCTTAAAAACATATTTAACACTTTTATACATACATTCTTAATTTTCAATATATGAAATTATAAAACAATTAAACTTGATATATAATCCATACAATGTATGTTGTGTGTTTACATCCTACAGCCCCAATATATGTAAATATGTAGATATATTTGAGAATATTTAGCAAAGAGGGATCCCCCCCTCCCCCTGACATCCCTCCTACCTTTCGGTAAGCCCATACTACCCCACCCCGGCCCCCCATATTGTTCCGAACGTAATAATTGGCCGACAAAGTTTTCACAGCATTACATAAGACCCCACTAACATACAAGGGGCGTACATATAAATTTCATTACAATTTCACACATATGTACAATTATCATTACTCCTGTAGAATTATACTGCCCTACCTGTCCATCACGTGATATGAACCTAGTGATTATAAATTTGTCTAAGTGCTTGTTATGAGATCTTCCCGGTCTCCTGTGGACAATATGGGGTTGTGGACCCAGACCACCCATCCGGGAAATTCCAGAGATATT